ATGGCTTACCCGCATGTCATCCCTAGTCAACCTATCACCTACCTCCACTAATCTCAACCCCTCCCTCCTCTACACCCAGTATAAAAAGCCTTCCCCTCTCTTTTCTTCTGACTTCCAATAAAGCCTACACGTGAGTGTTGTGTTCAGGCTCATTCCATCTCACAACTATCATTGTCATGCTTGAGCCCATTGATGCTGCCACTTTGTTACTCCATCTCGCTGGGGGTCTTCCTCTTTTTCTCTGAGCCTTCACCCTACCAAATATGATATGCTTTTCCAGCAACTGCTCCCTCCTGACAATATGTCCAAAGTATGAGAGATGAAGTTTGGCCATCTTGGCCTCCGAGGAGCACTCTGGCTGCACTTCTTCCAACATGGATCTGTTGGTTCTATGGACAGCCCATGGCACTTTCAATAGTCTCCTCCAACACCATAACTCAAAAGCATCAATTCTTCACTGGTCTTCCTTATTCACTGTTCAACTTTCACATGCATCTGAGGCTATTGAAAATACCATGGCTTGGGTCAGGTGCACCTTAGTCCTCAAACTGACATCTTTGCTCTTCAAACCTTTAAAGAGGTCTTGTGGAGCAGATTTGCCTAATGCAATATGTCATTTGATTTCTTGACTGCAGTTTCCATAAATATTATAGTAATAATAAAATGAGTACCATCCTGGTGTGACACTGTAGAATAAGCACTGGACTACTAACCGCAAGGTTATCGGTTCAAACCCAACAGTCGCTCCTTATAAACCCTATACTGGTTGCCATGAGAACTAACAGGCGGACAGTTAACAACAGCACCAGTTATTAAGTGATTTGTTGTTGTTAAGTACTATCAGTTGGTTCTGACTCATAGTGACACTGTATAGGGTTTCTGAGGAGCGGCTGGGGGGTTTGAGTCACCCACCTTGCAGTTAGCAGTCCAGTGCTTACCCTACGGTGCCACACCAGGACTCCAAATTACTATTGTCATTGTTAAATGCCTTTGAGTCTTGTTCTGACTCAGTGATCCTGTGTAGGGTTTCCAAGGAGTGGCTGGTGAGTTTGAACCACTAACGTGAGGTTCCAACTGACCTTGCGATACAGCGCGTTGTCCTGCAGGGCCATACATTAACCAAATCAATTCTCATACCAACCTTCTGTGATTGGCATTCTATTATTCTCATTTTACATGTGAGGAAATGCAGCTCAGAGAGCTTTATTGTCTTTCTCAAGGTCACACATCTGCAAAGGAAAAGATTCTGAGTCTTCCACTAGGTTTTGAAGACTGCCTTTCCCACTATAAAAGATCTCCACCCATGCAGAACAAACTCTATAAAACTCCAGAAGATGGTTCTTGGTATTATTTTCCCAAGTATCAAGGGTATCTCCTGAGTTCCTTTAAGAAAAGATTCCTAGTGCCCACAATCCTTACAGATAGGAAATTCTTCACAACTGCCCATTCTCCGTTAATCTTGGTTCTGCATGGAGTGACAAAATGGCTGAGATGCTGCCTTCTAGCCTGATGTGGAGAAAGACAGGACTTTCTGGACCCTGTTAAGGAGTCCTGGTGTGGTGCTGCAGGTTATTGCACTGGACTGCAAAGTCGGTTTGAACCGCAAGGTTGGCAGTTCAGGCTCACCAACTGCTCCTTGGAAACCCTATACAGGGTGGCTATGACTCGGAACCAACTAGTGGGCACTTAACAACAAGCATCTTATCCAGGGTACTTAAAGCCAACTTTTCTACCATTTCATCATGCCAGTACGGATGGGTATGCCTGAGGTATGCCTGAGGAGACCAGCTGCCCCATCCACAGGCTGTCTTATCTGGTAACTGTTCAATAGTTGAACTGAACTAACCCTAAAGAAGGGGAGGGTTCTCACCTGCATTTAGCAAGTCCAGACAGAAGCTGTGCTACACCCTGGGCCTGTGGGAGGTACGGTGGGGAGGGTGGGACATTCCCAGACTCCAGTGAGTCCACAGCTCTGCTTGAGTCAGGCATGTCACCAGGACAGCTGCGCCTAGTCTCTTTCTGGTCGGTGTTGAAGTGTTTTACGAGGGGCTGAGAAGAAGTTAAGGGATTCACTGACTACATCGGCCCCAACTTTTGAAGAAAGTTATCTTGGGAAGAAGTTTCCTATCACAAAGGAAAAAATACAAATATTGAAAAGCAAGGAAGCCATCCCTTGCTCCCAGAGCTGCTGCCATATGCTTTGCTTTTTGGAGCTGATGGATTAACATTAAAATAACAAGCTTGCATTCCTCAAATATCTCCGCTGCTGGACTTCTACCACTGAAAAGGCTGGCAGCTGCTGTCACTGGGAGGCATTACTATATTTGCCGCCACAGTTTCCAGCTTACAGTGTGGTGTGGGCAAGGGTTTAATAGCCTGCTCCTGGTGATACCCTAGGTTAGAGGAGCAGGAACCACAAGCTGGGGGCTACTGTCTAATGGAGGGGTGTGTCTAGGTCTATGTGTGTTGTGGGGATGGCTGGAAGTGGGGCACACTGCTTTATAAATATTGGCTCCAACTGCATCTGTGTGGCGGGGGAGAGGGGGAAGTATCGATGGGTAAAGAACTGTATATAGAACCATTTCAAGGTGGTTAAACATGGGCTAAACAGCATTGGATCAAATCCAGAACTACACTCCGCATGCGAGAGAGAAGAGGATCTGCAAGAAGTAAAAACAGGGCCACGCAGCTCTTGAATTCCCCCTGTATAAATAGCTGGGCCTACCAAAGAAATCTCTAGTCAGAGGGTCCCCGTATTATTATAAAAATTCTCTCCCTGGGGAAAAGAGTGCCCTTTTCACTAGAAGACAAAGAAATGCTTGTCATGGAAATGTGTGAACCAATTTTCCAAGCAAAGTCTCTGAAATGCACTAATTAAAAACACAGTGAAGTGATGAGGCAGGGAAATAAAGCCAGAGCTGACCCAGTTAAAGTTTGGGGATTGTACTTATTTCTGGAAAGTGAGGAAAACCAGCCTGGGCCACCTGCTGCACCCCCCACTCCACACCTCAATGAGGGCAGGTAGCACCTTCAACACGTCATGTTGTTTCCAACCACTGTGCACGGGCTCCTAAGTTACTTCCACTGAGGATAATTTTGTCCCAAAGACAGTGTCCTTCTCAACCAAGTCTAACCACCAGGGGCTGGCAGGCAACTCACAGGAAAGGTGTGAAGGCAAATGGATGACTTTAGCACCTGGTAGCTGCCGGTGACAATCCTTACAGTACGTACATAGAGCAACTCACTTATTTAATGCCTTCCACCTCCTGGAGAATAAAACTACGGCGCAAAGGAGCCAGGGATCTGCACCAAAGTTGTCCCAAGTATAATAACAACACAGTGTTCGAGGAAGTCCTTGACAACACAGGAGAAACAGGCTCTAAATCAGGGGTTGTTGTTTAGTGTTGTGGAGTCAGTTCCAACTTATAGCGACCCTGTATAGGGTTTCTGGGGAGTAGATGGTGGTTTGAACAGTCGACCCTGTAGTTCACAGTCCACTGCTAAGCCTACAGTGCCACACCACCTTTTTTCTGCCAAAATTTATGACATCATTCTTGGACCATACAAAATTATCAACTTAAACATTAGCTTGCTCTATTTAGTCAAAGATTTAATTAACTCAAGGAGCTCTGGTAGTGTAGTGGTTACAAATCGGGCTGTTAACCTCAAGGTCTGCAGTTCGAAACTACCAGCTGTTCCGTGGGAGAAAGATGAGGCTTTCTGCTCCCGTAAAGATTTACAGCCTCGGAAACCCTGTACAGGGTCGCTGTGAGTCGGAACCGACTCCACGGCACCTAACAACAACAACAACTATAGGAGTCCTAAGGAGCTCTGGTAGTGTAGTGGTTCCAAATAGGGCTGCTAACCTCAAGGTTAGCAGTTCAAAACTATCAGCTGTTCCGCAGGAGAAAGATGAGGCTTTCTGCTCCGGTAAAGATTTACAGCCTCAGAAACCCTGTACAGGGTCACTATGAGTCGGAACCGACTCCAAGGTACATAACAACAACAACTACGGAGTCCTGGTGAGGCATGGCAGGTTAATGCACTTGTCTGCAAAGTCGGTTTGAATCACAAGGTTGGTGCTCGCCAGCCAGTCCTCGATAACCCTATGTTGTTGTTGTTGTTGTTAAGTGCCGTTGAGTCGGTTCCGACCCATAGCAACCCTGTACAGGGTTTCCGAGGGTGTAAATCTTTATGGGAGTAGAAAGCCTCATCTTTCTCCCGCAGGGCGGCTGGTAGTTTCGAACCACTGACCTTAAGGTTCACAGCCCGATTCGTAACCACTACGCTACCAGAGCCCCTTTCGATAACCCTATACAAGGTCGCAATGAGTCAGAACCAATTTGATGGTACTTAACAACAACAACAATATGGCCCGTGGGCCAGACCTTCCCCATTCCTGCCCTGAAGCACAGTCTCCAATCTCAGTCAGTTGAGTTCGTTTAGCATAACTTTACCATATCATGTATATTGGTATTATTATTCACATTGTTTCTCTTTAACTTGCCTTTAAAATAACCCATTTTTTAAATGTTTAGTTGTCTCCTGTGGTGGTTCAAACTCAGCAGCCACTCCTCGGAAACCCTATACAGGGTCACTACCAGTCAAAACCAACTCATGGCACGCAACAATAACAAAAACAAATACTATATTAGGTTAAGCGTGCAGCTATTAATATACAGGCTGCTTGGTGGTGCTCACAAAGGGATGCTGGAGAAAGAGCTGGGGATGAGCTACCACAAAGATTACAGCCAACACAGCCCTCGGTTCAGCCACACACGGGGTCACCACACATCCGAGTCAACTAGATGGCAATGAGGTTTCTAATACGATGTTAGAGCTACCTAGCAAGCAGACAATGTCCGTTTTAAATATTAGGAAAAGATAAGACGGAAGAGAAGTCTGTACTCTTTACCCTCAGAGACGGACTGGGGAGACGGGAAGAGGAAGCAAGCGTGGTACTGTTTGAGTTTGGGGACACTGGGCGCAGGCCCACTCACATGAAGTTTTCTGGGTATTCACTGAGCGCCATGTCAATGATATTCAGGGCATCCTGATGGTGTTTCTGTGCTGACAGCAGAAGAGCAAGGAGGTGCAAGGAGTTGGCATCATCACCTTGAAGTTGAAGAGCTTGGCGGACGTACCCAAGAGCCTCTGGAATCTGATTTCAAACAAAGTCAAAAAGAATTTCAAAACACACTGTGACACCATGAAAGGGTTCAGGTGGGCAAACCTCCCCATGCAGGTAGCCACCATGTTGATAGCTAGCTCTCAGATCAAGAGGTGTTTCAGTTTATACCCCATACAGAGTCTAAGCCAGGACATTAACCACACACAGCAAACAGTGGCAGTCTGACTGAAGGAGTGATATCATGTTGTTGTTGTTGTTGCTAAGTGCCATCAAGGCAGTTCTGACCCATAATGACCCTATATAAAGTTTCCAAGGAGTGGCTGGTGAGCTTGAACCACCAATCTTGTGGTTCAATCCAACTTTGCAGTCCTGTGCTTTAGCCTAGAACACCTGTAAATCTGCCAAGGCCAGGACCCTTTCTTTTCCTCACAATAGACACATTCTCTTTGTCCACAAAGCTGATCTACTTGTGATTATGCCCAAGATGATTTCACACTAAGTGGGGGTATATACAAGGAGTCCTGGTGGCACTGTGGCATTGTGGGCTGCTAACCATAAGATCAGAGGTTCAAACCCACCAGCTGCATGAGACTGCCTGCTGTCACGAAGATTTGCAGTTTCCGAAACCCTATGTTATATCAGTTCAGTGGTAATGGGTTTTTTGGTGGGATTGGAGACACATATACAGCTTGTCAGAGATTTTGTCAGAGTGGAATTAAACTGAAATTAAAGTGCTTATTGAGTTACAGAATCTTTAACAGAGCTTTCTAAATGGGCAGGCTTTTGTGGGTCTTTCCTGGATTTCCAATAGACACTAAAGCAATATGCAAACACAGAAACAAACAAAACCCCCACACCTTTGCAATTGTAACCCAAAAAAACTCAATCCAAGAAACAAACTGCAATCCCACAGACAAAGCAGCTATCTCCAAATTCAAGTAGAACCAGATACAAGCTTTACCCGTTCAAATGCAACGGCTGTCCAACACTTTTTTTCAAAGCCATCCAAGCTCTAGGGGTGACCACATGCATACATAGTGGATAAATGAACACTCTAAACTCCACACAGGTTTTACAGTAACTAAGGAGAATTACAACCTGAAGTTGGAGCTCGAAATCAAGGCTGAGACTGAAGCGTCGTCTGACATACCTACCCCAGGGACTTCCGCCTAGCTCCTCTTCCAGGGTCCCTGCTCCAGACCATTGTCTGGGCTCTGAGTTTGGTCTTCCCTAAACCTGTTTGTTTTCCTCTCTGGGATTCCATGTTTGCTGGATTTGGGTTATGAAGGTTGCCTAGGAAGGCTTTCTGTTTTTTGAACCCTAGAATCATGGTCATTAATGCTGGGAGAGAGACCAGCTGGCCCGGATTCTTCATTTACAGGGAGAAAGCTGAGTTTCAGAGTGGTGGTATTTCTAGAGCAAGGTCACCCAGTTACCGAGTGACAGAGACGAGAGTGACTCTGGATCTTCTGATCCTTCCTCTTCCTCTCTCCCACAGGCAATGGCATTGGCCCGGAAGAATAAGAGGGCCCCAGACCCTGTCCCCACTGGCCAGCCCCCCTTGAGGGCTGGCGTCTTGACACTGTGTGTCCAGAGGGCTGCTGCTGCTACTGCATCTACAAGACTCCAACCCTGCCCACTCCCAGGGTGACAGCTACTGTGTGACCAGCACTCAATCTGGACTTATGGGGAGGGCTGGAAGGCAGGGAATACTCTGCTTATGATGTGGGTTTACAGAGATGACCAGAGATAGCCACAAGGGAGAGCTGAGTGGAAGGAATTCAGAGCTACTTCATTCACTCAATAAGCATTACTGAGTGCCTACCACATGTCATGACAGCCAGGAAAAAGCTCCAACGGTGGCAGATGTTCCCTGCTCTCATGGATCCTGACGTACCGTGAGCAAGGCAGACACAGGTGGAGAGGCTGGAGCAAGAGGCAGAGTGCAGGCTGCTCTAGGGAGGAGCGGGTGAAGATGATCTGCTCAGCTCCAGCTGTAGCTCTCCACAGGTGTGGACCAGGCAGCTGCTGCAAGCCACACCTTGTCAAGCGAGTGGACCCCCATGGGAGAGGGATCGTAGTTTCCTCTGACCCTAGGTCACCAATGGGAGCCACTTCTTACCACCATCCTCATACAACCATGGAGTCAGGCGAGGCCTAAGCCTGAGCCTGCCGGAGGAATGGTGCGTCTGTGTGCTGATGTTAGATTCACCCTCCAGGCAGCACTGAGGAATGTGCTGGGGTTACTACCAGTCTCTTGCACCTGGTGGGCAGGCAGGCATGTAGCCAGAGGCTCCAGAACAACTGCAGGAGAATGGCAAAGGCAGTTTCTGGAAGCTTCTGTGGGAAACTGGAGGCCAGGGGAGCTTGTCCCTCCAGCAAGATTGCTGTTGAACCTCTTCATTTTGAGCAGCCACTGTGTGTCTTTGTTTTTCTCTTCGATGTATTTTAACAAAACCGGTCTCTTTTTATGTCTCTGTCTGTTGGCAAGGAGCCCTGGCAGTGTAGTGGGTTAGGAATTGGGCTGTTAACTACAAGGTCAGCAGTTGGAATATACTTGCCATTCTGTAGGAGAAAGATAAGGGGGGGCTTTCTGCTCCTATGAAGATTTATAGCTTCAGAAATTTACAGCCTCAGGGTTGCTGTGGGTCAGAACCAACTCCATGGCACATAACCACTACCAACACCATATCTGCTGGCATCTTCTTACAGTCACCGATACATTATGACAACAGGGCTCCCGGCTAGATGCCCACCATGATGCTACTCAACACTGGAGTCTGCCACCCTGTTTCTGTGAGTAACAAAGGTTGCCAGGTTCAGGACATACGCCTCGGGCTATATATACACCACGCTGCCGTCTGACCACAGCTTGGGCCCCCCACAAAAATGCCCAAAGCTTCTGCTGGGTCTTCACAGAGGGGGCTCGAAGTGATCCAAACACCATGGGTCTCCATAAGCCCACATCCTCTGAGAAGAGCCCTTAGGCTCCCGGTCAGCCTCAAGCCAATGAAGGAAGATGCTCCCTGACCCCCAAGTGAGACACTTAGAAAACTGCAGGGAGATCAAAGACAGCGGATCAAATTTGGGGAACATCAGAAGGCGGCGCTCACTCACCTGTCTGGAGATGGCGAGTTGCAAAGCCAGGTAGAAAGCTGCTTGGTGATCTGTAGGTGACAGGTTGTGGGCCCTGAAAAAGCATGTGTGGATATCAGCATGCAGGACAGGCCATTTTCACTTTCTTATCACATGAGTTTTTGCACATTTGCATTTGTAGACCAAGGCCATCTATTCAGTTTCACTATCCATGTGAAATAATCTATTCAATTGGTGGGGGTGGTGAAAAGAAACATGGCAGAAGGTATGCTTGTAGAACCAACCCCACAGTTTCTATATGTACCATTTGGTGACACTGGGGACATTCTTTGAGTGGGGTAAGTGTTCTCCCCTCCCCCATTCACTGCCCCTAAGGTTCCTGGAGTCCCGGTGGTTGTGGCACTGCCGGATCAGCACTGGGCTACTAACCACAAAGTTGGTGGTTCAAACTCACCAGCCGCTCCATGGAAACCCTATACAGGGTCCCTATGAATCAGAACTGACTTAACAGCAATTAACAACAACAACAAAGGTTCTTATCTAATCATTGGAGTTACTGTTATCAGTTTGATCCCATAGAGCAGGGGTGGGGAAAGTTTTTCTGCCAAAATTTATAACATCATTCACAGGCCATACAAAATTATCAATTTAAAAGTTAGCCTGCTATGTTTGGATACTTGGTGCAGCACTGTAGGATCAGCACTGACTGTGAACCACAAGGTCAGTTCGAACCCACCAGCTGCTCCTCAGAAACCCTACACAGGGTCAATATGAGATGGTACTGACTCCACGGCACTTAACAACAACAACAACAACAGTATTTGGTCAAACATCTAATTAACTCACCACTAATAGTGTAGTGGTTATGAACTGGGCTGCAAACCTTAAGGTTAACAGTTCGAAACTACCAGCCACTCCGTGGGAGAAAGATGAAGCTTTCTGCTCCTGTAAAGATTTACAGCCTCAGAAACCCTGCACAGGGTAGCTATGGGTCGAAATCGACTCAACCACACTTAACAACAACAACAATGTGACAGCACAGATGTCAGCTTGAGGACTAAGGTGTGCTTGACCCAAGCCATGGTATTTTCAATAACCTCATATGCATGTGAAAGCTGGACAGTGAATAAAGACCGTAGAAGAATTGATGCTTTTGAGTTATGGTGTTGGAGGAGAATATTAAAAGCTCCATGGGCTGCCAAAAGAACCAACAGATCCCTGTTGGAAGAAGTGCAGCCAGAGTGCTCCTTGGAGGCCAAGATGGCCAAACTTCATCTCTCATACTTCGGACATATTGTCAGGAGGGACCAGTCGTTGGAGAAGGATATCATGTTTGGTAAGGTGGAGGGTCAAAGAGAAAGAGGAAGACCCGCAACGAGATAGATTGGCCAACAGGCAGCATCGATGGACTCAAGTGTGGCAAAGGTAGTGAGATTAGCCCAGGATTGGGCAGTGTTTCATTCTGCTGTGCATAAGGTCGCTCGGAGTTGGTACCGACTCAATGACATCTAACAACAACAATGTGATGGCTGGAACTGCAGTTGCAGGGCCAGACCAAATGATTTTGAGGGCATTATATGGCCCATGGGCCAGATGTTCCCACCCCAGCCAGAGAGCTAGATCTTAGAAGAACATCATGCTTAAGGCAGACACTCTTTACTACTTAAGCTAAACAACTGCTTGGCTCTAAGATTTTAATGGATGTTTTTGGTGTGAGGTTAAAGTTTTAAAGATGATCTCAGGGCAATAGCTTGGGGGGTTCACCCAGTCTCCATGGCTCCGTAAAGTCTGGAGTCCATGAGAAGACTCTGTTCTGCATGTCCCTCTTTGGATCAGCACTCTTCTATAGAACCTTTCATCAAAATGGCAGCCAGGCTCAGGGCAAAGGCAGCAGCTGGCCATGGAAGCAATTCGTCCATATTCCACTTCCTTCTTCTACTCCCGACTCTCCTGCCTTCATGGCTCCATTGTTGTACTTTTGCTCACTGGCGTATGTGAAAGTATTTTCCGTCTTACCGCTGCACATAGATCTGCCCACAGCAACATGCTTGTTTTGTCTAGTGTCTAAAGTGGCAGCCAGTGGGCCCAGAAGTTGAGATGAAGGGTCCACAGGCCCTGAGGACTAGCTCCCCAGCTGACTCTTCCTGTTGTGTTGGGGCACAGGGGAACCATATGTTCACTTGACAAGGTGATGGCTGCTTTGGCTACGTTTTGGCTTGGACTTTTCCACTACTTTATCCAAATTTCTGGATCTCAGAGAAACCACATGAAAATCAAAGACCCAGCTTTGTTCAGAAACTGAGGTTTTAGTTTTTTTGAGGAACTATAGGAGTGGGGAAGAAAGATGCTCATTTGGTCTTTTGAAGCTTTTTTTGAGGAACTATAGGGATGGGGAAGAAAGATACTCATTTGGTCTTTTGAAGTTTCTACTACGTTCTGTGTAGTTTGTAAATTTAGTCCATATGACTATGCTCTGTAACACTCTGTGGTAAAACGCAAGGTTTAATTTCATTAACTGGCCAGAGACACAGGAAGATTGGAGACGCTCTCCTGGTCTCCCACTTGATTACAAACAAGGTCTCCTTTGCTTTTTTGTAAAAGTCCATTGTATTTCACCACGAGCAATACCAACTGTGACTATGCACAAGACAGAATTCTGTGTTTCACAGTCTGGTGGGAAGAGAAAAACAACCTTTGACTTTCTTTCCAAGACAGGAGACAGAGCATACAAATTACAAATCGTGGGCCCCAGAGAGTAAACAAACCTTTGAGCTGTTCTGTCAACATTCTGTGATTAAAGGAAGATCTTCGAAGGGCAGAAAACAAATTCAAGATAAAAAGGAAACCCAAATCATTATGGATTCAATGGTGGCAAACACGCCAAGGATAGCTCTCTCCAAGAACAAGGCTTCTGAGTTGTCCATTGGCTGTGAGGAAACAGGCCATAGAGGTTCCTATATGTCTGCCATCCACTCACTTGGGGCATCGTCTGGGCAAACATGAGCTATTATTTCAGGTGCAGGATGGGGGCAAAGCAAAGACTCCTCTCTGTCCTTCCTTTGATCTTAAGAACAGAGTATCTAAGCTCCCATTTCTGGAGTATCTTAATGGTAACTTGCTTTAGACACAGCCTGGGAACTTTTATCACCTGAGTTCAACAAGTTGAGGTTGAGAATTTGCTTGCACTGTTCTTTTAAATGCTTTGTTTCTACCAAAGGTCCACTCAGTATGCTCCCATGGTTATTATGGTATTGGTTTTCTATGACTCTGTAACTAAAGAATTCTTTTTTTAGTGTTCATAAAATATAACGTTGGAATGTCATGGTTCATGTCTCTTCCAATTCTTTAGGAAAAACATGAATATGAAATTCATTATGAAAAAACTTCATATTGCATAGAATTATTTATCTCATCTTGTTTCACAATTAATAAAAGCCAGGTCTCCAAAAGCTCTCTAAAAAAAAATAATTTCTCAGAACTATAGTTTTCTTAGCTCAATTAAGTTTTTTGCTTTTTAATTTTCCCCCCACAAATGAAGTTAAAGAAAATCATAGTTGCCTTTACCCAACACCTATCAAGCAAAAAAGTGGCAATGGTCTGGTTGTTATTGTTAGGTGCCATCGAATGGTACCAAGTCATAGCGACCCTATACACAACGGAATGAAACACGGCTCGGTCCTGGGCCATCCTCACAATTCATGCTACACTTGGGCCCATTGCTGGTACCACTGTGCAAAATTATTTATGCCAATCCATCTTGTGAAGCTCTTCCTCTTTTTTGCTGACCCTCCACTTTACCAAGCATAACATCCTTCTTCAGGTACTGGTCCCTCTTAATAACATGTCTGAACTGTGAGACATGAAGTTTCACCATCCTGGCTTCTAAGGAACATTCTAGCTACAATTCTTCTAACACAGATTTGTTTGTTCTTCTGGAAGTCCAGTGTACTTTCAATATTCTTCTCCAATACCCATAGTGGTTTATGAGTTGGGCTACTAACCTAAAGGTCAGAAGTTCGAAACTGCTAGCCATTCTGCAGGAGAAAGATGAGGCTTTCTGCTTCCTTAAAGATTTATAGCCTTGGAAAACCCTATACGGGGTCACTATGAGTTGGAACTGACTCCACGGCACACCACTACCACCTCCACCAAACTCTAATGCATCAATTCTTCCATGGTCTTCCTTAATCATTGTCTAACTTTCACATGCAAATGAGGCTACTGAAAATACCATGGCCTGGGTCAGGCGCATCTTAGTCCTCAAAATGACATCTTTGCTCTTAAACACTATAAAGAGGTCTTGTGCAACATATTTACTTAATGTAAATCATTTGATTCATTGACTGCTTCCATGAGTGTTGATAGTGGATCCAAGCAAAATGAAGTCTGACAATTTTAATCATTTCCCATTTATCATAATGTTATTTACTGATCCAGTTGTGAAGATTTATTTTTTCTTTCCATTGAGGTGAAATCTCTACTGAAGGCTTTGATCTTCACCAGTGTTATAAGTCCTCTTGGCTTCCAGGAAGCAAAGTTGTATCATTTGCATACACAGGTTGTTAATGAGTCTTCCTCCAAGCCTAATGTCAATGTCCTCCATATAATCCATCCTCTCTGACTGTGTGTTCAACATACAGGTTAAATAAATATGGTGAAAGAATACAGACCTGGTGCACAGCTTTTCTGATTTTAAACCATTCAGAGTCCTTTAGTTCCATTCGAATGACTGCCTTTTGATTGCGGTATAGGTTTCTCATGAGCATAATTAAGTATTCTAGAATAACCATTCTTCACAATGTTATCCATAACTCAGTCAAAAGCCTTAGCATAGCAAATACAGCACAGGTAAACATGTTTCTGGTATACTCTGTTTTCAGCCAAGATCCATCTGTTGTCAGCAATGATATCCCTCATTCCATGTCCTCTTCTGAGTCCGGCTTGAGTTTCTGACAGCTCCCGGTCGATGTACTGTTGCAGTTATTTTAAAATGATCTTTAACAAAATTTTATTTGCATGTGATATAAATGATATTGTCCTATGATTTCTGCATTCCATTGGGTCACCTGTCTTTGGAATGGCCACACACATGAA